TTTACACCTCTAGTGGACAATGAAGGGGGGGGGGGCTGAGACACAAGCAAACATTCTGCAAATTTTTTATAACAGTGCTTCTTCCTTTTGGTAATTTACCAAAACTGCTTTATTAGCTTAAATTTTATGCATTAGATTATTATGAGAGATCCCATAATAACAGACGGGTTAGCACCAGAGATCCAGTCAGAGAAGCTCTTCACTCCATGTCTGATGGTTGAAGGTCGTTACTTCACTGTGATCCAGTTGTTTTACATGTTTGCCATAAGATAACTACACTGCAAAAACAATCTAGAAATAAGTAAAAAATGCCTTAGACAAAGTTTATTTACCCTTAGTTTGAGCAGGTACATCAGATTTTTGCCAATGGAATGAGTATCTTTACTCTTAAAATAAGATAATTATATAATTTTTTTTTTCTTATAATAAATGTAAATTGTCTTGTTCCATTGGTAAAGTGTCTCACTTACCTCCTTAATTTAAGAACAAATGCACTTAATTTAAGAAAAATTGAGTGATCTAGATTTGGATTTTTTTCCAGTGAAGAACGTCCAAAGTTTCTAAATGGAAATCAATCCAGCGTTGAGGAGAGTGACGAGCCGATGATTAGCTCAGCTTTAATGTGACGCGCACCATAGAGGTCAGCCGAATTATCGGCGCATAAAAGGTTAAAAACTATCAATGAAGTGATTTATTTCTAACTGACACTAACAGTGTGAAAACAGGAAGTAGTAACCAACAACAGTCTCAGTCTCAACAATCTGTTAACTTGTTAAGTATTTTTTCACTTTACGGATAAACTTTCACTTTAAGGTTTATGTTAGTTTCTGGCTCTTAGATTTGGTTCAACATCAACAAGGACAGTAGGAGCATAAATTCCTTTTAAATCCTTCTGAAAGACTCAGTGGTGGTAGATCAGGCCGTCATCTATAGAGCTGTTCTTACCTGTGCTTGGTGGTCCTGCTGCAGGAACAGGAGGGATTCACACAGGGTAGCATGCTGAGCAGGAGGAGAACAAGATCTTTGCTGACTGGAGGTTTCCTGTCCTCTTCATAGATCATAATGTGGTAATAAAAACATAATAATACCAGTCAAAGTTTGTGGCATTGCAGACTAACAGAAGAAGCCAAACGACCCCCATTCCGAAGGGGTGGACCCGTTCGTCTGATTCAATTTGCATGTTTTCTAAAGGCTTTGTTGGCCTACTGTATTATGCTACGTACGTTCAGACCGCACGAAGCAGGAGCAGCAAAAACGTGCGTAATGCTTTATTTTTGATGCTTGTACAGGTTTAGTTCTGATGGTCGGCTGAAGCATCTTTGCTGCTCTAGCTCCGCGCAGGAAAAGTGGGTCTGATGATGCGTTGGGCGGAGCTACCCTATCCTTTCTTTGCCCGGAGCAATGGCGGCTACATCTGCTATGATCTGTCAGTAAAAAGTAGATTTATGATGTTTTTAAGTGAGAAAGTCCATCTTGTAAACTCCATATGTGCAGTCAGTTCATCAGATTACCATCATGCGTTCAGATATTGTTTCTGACCCCAGTACACCAGCTCTCACTGGGAGCCCAGTTCAACACCAGCCTCTGGCCCGGTAGCCTCTTTGCAGTTTTCCGCTAGTGTTCACGCTTGGAAGACGTTTTTCACGTACGTAATCCAAACTGCAGGCTCCAGAATAATAAAATCAAACATATTTTACCGGCAGGTACTATAATAAAAGTTAAACATTAGGCATTAATAACCTGTTTCAGAGGAGTGATCACAGCGCTCTGCATCAGCAGTGCTGTGTCTGACTCCCTGCCAGCTCCCAGATCAGCTTCTCTGATTGGTCGATGAGGCGCATCCAGCAGCAAAAGTTCAGTTTTTCCAACTCCAGCAGCTGCTGCGTGTGAAGCGCATCACGCGCCTCAGAAGCTCACGACATGCTGCTTCAGCTGACCTTTTGCTGCGCCAAAATGCACGTCAACCATCGACTTTGCATGGAAACAAGCTGCCTCTGCTGCTTTAGGTGTGAACTCAACGCTATCTATGACATTTTGAATTAAAAAAGCCTCCTGGATGGGAAGCGAAACGTCTTCAACTTGGAAACAAAGTCAAATGGTTTGTTTTTTAACCTTTTAGAATGACTGTGAATCTTCAGCATGATAATACCCTTAAGAATCAGAGATGGGAGAACTGGATCCATTAGAAGGAGTTTCTATGCAGCAGAAGATGTTATTAGAGTGGAGGTTATCGTAGGGCAGGGTGGTAGACCCTGGACAGCTCATCAGATCATCACAGGGCAAGACAGCAGCACGGCTCACCTATAGATACCTCACAGTTAATGCGACTTTAACCAAGCTTGCTATTGGACCAGAACCGGAGCGAATCAATGATTCCATTCAGGAGCGTTAAAGCTAGTGGGCCACTCGCCAGTGTAGATTGTAATAGCATCAGTTTAGCATTTCATCCCATTCTGCACAGGCAGCGACGTAACATTAAAAATCACACAATAAACCAAGATCTGAGGAGGTGTGACTGAAGTCTTTATCATTTCTACAGGCAGGTTTACAACAATAGTAGATTCAGTCGCTGAAATTATGGCTTTTAGTTTGAGTGGGCACTGAAACATATAGGGGCCATCATAGGGGGGCCCCATCTGGCCGCCCCTATGAAACAGTTCTGGAGGCGCCACTGATTAAAGCAGAGATACAGCTGAGTTATAGAGATAGACAGACGGATTATAGACGAACGGACAGCTAAAGCTTTTTTCTCATCTTCTCTCCATGTCTTCCATGTAATCCGATCAATATAAAATGCAAAATGTGCTTTAAAAAGAGGAAACAAGAAGTAAAAAAGAAGAAGTGTCAGACAATGTGCGTCTACTTCTTCACAGAGAGACGGAAATCCTGCAGGTTCTTGCAGGAGGAGCTCAGTTCATCGTCTACAGGAGGCCAGGTTCTCAGATTAAAGCTCTTCATGAATGAAAGTTTTCAGGGAGCCACGCCTAAGAGGTTACAGCTGAAGTTTCTTCCGCTGCTTCATCTATTTCAGCAGGAACTGACCTGTCAACTGGTTTGACCAGCTTTCCTCATCCTGGAAAGATATGAGGCAGAGGCGGGTTTGGATGACCAGGCCTCCCACTGAAACCATTGTAGTTTTATTGGCTACCGTGTAACAATAGCATAAATATGTGAAACATGGATAATGTGAATCAGTACACCAAGATTTACATAATTGAATTGATTTGCTTACTTAATGGACTCTAGAGTTGGACGGATTCATACGTAAAGCAGAAATAAGGAAGATTGTTGGTGTTTACGTCTGTAGGAAAGAAAAGTTTCACTTCTTTATCCCCGTTTCAGACACACACACGTTCATAGTGTTTGCATGTGTTAGATTTGTCATTTTATTGGATTGTGTAAAATAAGTTATTCATTCATTGACCAGAAATCCCTGACAGTGTTTGCTCTCATTCAGAAACAGCCTGTGGGAACATTTACATCACAATCAAAGAGCAGACAGTGAGAAATGTTGCTCAGTGCAAAGCCTGAGAACAAACAAGCTGTAGACTGGTTAGACTGAAACTGGGAAACTGGGGGAAACAACAGTTCCATTACATTTTCCATGCATGTTTGCAGAAGTTGCTGGAAGTGAAAGACATTTATTTAGCCCCACGTGGTGGAGTATGTGGTGGCTATGCTGAACTTTACCATTTAATAGTATTTATACTTTTGTACTTGTTCACATTTTGACACAATACAAGGTGTGCTACAGACAACAGAAAGGAATATATCTACTGGATCTGTCTGGAGCTGCGAACATTTCAGACTCCTATAGAAGTAGGGTTGCCAACTACATGAAAAAAAAAACGGCTCTGTTATCTCCCGCCATTTTCTCCATGAGCAACACTTGGCTCGACCAATGGGATGAGGGGATTCTGGATCGTTACATATATGCTTTCAGCTCATTGGTTCATTGGTCAAAAGGCAGGTCAGGGCCCCGGGAACAAGTTTACCGTAAGTTTCGTATCTAACGGGCCCTTGTTCTTCAATTTCCATTAGCGTTTCCATTTTCTGACCAGTTTTTTACCCTCACAGTAAAACGGGACAAAGTGCGTTCCTTTTCCACTAAAGACGGGACAGGTAGTTCTGTTTCTAAATACAGAACGATTCCGTTTTTCAAGGGATGGTTCCTACTAAAGATGTTAAGTGTATATTAGCCCACTGTCATAATGAAAAAAGGCTGCTCTATGCATTATCGT